AATTCTCATGAGCTATTAAAATGGCACATTGTTACTTGTTTGTAGCAGTTTGCTTGTTTGTTCAACTGAGAATTATGTACTTGCAGGATACAAGGTAAAAAACTTGCCTTGCAGCAAAGAAAATTTCATTGTCACTTTAATTTTTTTTAGATTTATTTATTTTATATGTGTAAGTGTTCACCAGTATGTGTGTACATGTACCACTTTCTTGCCTGGTGCCACAGAGGTTGGAAGAGGGCATTGGGTCCCCTGGAACTAGAGTCACAGAGGGTAGTGAACCACTATTGTGGGTGCTGGGAACCAAAACCAGGTCCTGTTAGAACGTGTGCTCTTAACCACTGAGCCATCTCTCCAGCCCCACACTGTCATCTTTAAAAGGGGCCACTGAGTACTTGAGATGATAAAAATTTAACTGAATCTTTGGAATTCTAATTATGTCAATGTAAGCATTTTAAGTCTTGGGTAACTGTCACTATTAGCTCACATTAAAAAGGGACAATCAGCTTCAGCTACAAACTCACACTAACACACTCAGTGACTGGCAAGAAGTTAAAGAGGGATCCAGTAGCCCAGATTTACACTAATGTCATTCAGTACCCCAGAGAACTATCAGCAGCACAACTGCAAGTATGCAAGATAGTGAAGGCATTTTTAAAGATGGGTGTTACTGACCATGTTGTTTTTATTACTGCGGGGGGGGGGGGGCAAAATTTATTTCCCAAAGCAAGTTGTTGGGGTTTTTGTTTGTTTGTTTTTGCATTTCTTAATAGCTATTACATGTATTTTCAATTCAGAAAATAGACAGCTTGATTCTTCTTGTAATCATCAAACAAAGCAGTCAGAATATTATTTTGTGTGTTTCTGTGTAGTTTTTCAAGACAGGGTTTCTCTGTGTAGCTTTGGAGCCTGTCCTGGAACTCACTCTGTAGACCAGGCCTGCCTCAAACTCACAGAGATCCGCCTGCCTGGTCTACAAGAGCTAGTTTCAGGACAGCCTCCAAAGCCACAGAGAAACCCTGTCTCGAACCCCCCTCCCAAAAAAAAAATAAAAGAAAATAACCCAAACCCTTAAGAGTGAGAGTCCCAAATGAGGCCAGGTTAAGGGATGATAAATAAAGAAGGCAAAGTCAAAAACTGGGATGGGGAAATTTTACACAGCTTCTTATATACTATTTACAGGAGGGGAGTGGCCAGGTCATCAGAGAGCTAAATCAGGAGGTGTAGACAAAGAGAACACATGATAACTCCACACAGCATTAGGACTAATAACCACAGCCCAAGGGGAAGAGAAAGATCCTCAGAAACTGTAACCTTGGCTCCCCTGAGATCTGGACCTTGCCAAGTCAGCCCCTGGATGAGGACACCAAACTACTGCTCTCTTTGTCCTTTCATTGGGACCTCTAGAAAGCCTTGGGTCGGTCTGGTTCTCAATAAGAGAACAAGCCAGGAAGAGCAAGCCAGTAAGCAGTATTCCTGCCCTGACTTCCATCAGTGAATAGTGTGATCTAAGGGCTGTACGATGAAATAAACCCTTTCCTCCCAAAGTTGATTTTGGTCATGATGGTTTATCTCAACAAAATAAAGCTAAGGCATTTAGTTTAGGATTACTTCTTAAATTATAAACAATTAAATAATACACTAACATATGAAATGTGACATCTAAACTGTAGATATGTATGCTTGGGTAGAATGGTCTATAAGTTTTTGCCATAGTTTGAGGTTATCAAAAGGCATCATACTTATAAATAATATATACTTATAAAATTTCAAAATGACAAGTAGAAAAATTATGAACCCCTTGTTATGCCCAGTTCTCGGGACCCAAAAAGAACCACTGCCAAGGAGACGACTCACCAAATGCAAAAACAAAGGTTTATTATCAAGCTAAAACAAAGATTCCACCCACTTGGGTGCAAGTGGAATACAGCTTACAGCTAAGGGTTTTGTTGTTGTTGTTGTTTTGTTTTTTAAGGGAAAGTCCACAAGACTGAAAGTATCGAGATTACAAAGCCTCTGTGGATACATAGGATAAAACAATAACTGTATGTTTAAGCAGGATACAATTGAGCAGGATATTGTAGGGAATATAAGTTTGTTAATTATCTCCTGGGCCAGGGATTTTTACAACCATGAGTTGATGGCTATCTGGTCTTCTATAGGACCCAGAAATGTTGACACTCCTGGAGTGTGTTATCTGTTCTTAGGCCTCTAGTCACATACCCAGTCCTTTGTTTAGCCTTATCTGTTGCCTTTGGGAGCTCAGAGGAGCTTGAAATTTTTCTTTTTCCTATATGGGCTTTGAAGTCTAAGTTTTTAGACTTTTATTGATGTTTCCTATTTCATCCCTAAACTTCAATCACCCAGTTAACAGTTTCCATGATCTTGACACATCTTTTTTCTTTGTTAAATCATCTTAAAGTAATTTCTAATGTGTCATTTTGCCCTTACCTATCAAATAGGTACTCACTAGGTAATATTATGCCAATCATCATTAAAGGCAGCTCTCTGAAATGAGGATCTATACATAGATACTTACAAAACAGAGTTAAAGGTGTTATTTTATAGTTGGCTTTCTCTAACCAGTATTTAACAAGATCCAGTCATTACAAATGTGACTGACTTCTTCAGATTATTTGCATTAAAGAACATCTTATTATTAGTGTGATACATTTGTCACAGTTACTGAACCAAGGTTGAGCCACTGTTAGTAACTAATGTATAGATTTTTTTCAGATTTCTATACTTTTCATCCGGTGTCCTTCTGTTGTTGTGCCAGAATTTCATGCCAGATTCAGCTGTCATGTCTCCTTGGATTCCCCTGACCCATGACAGTTTCTCATGCTTTCCTTATGTTGGTGATCTTGACACATTGGAACCTTTCTGGTTCCTTTTAAACTGTCTGTCGTTGAGGGAGATGTTTTTCTCCTGGTTGAACTGAGATTCTTGATTTGGAAAGGTAGCTGCCATTCTTATTGTCACGTGTCAATAAATGTAACACAGTAAACAAGACACTGTTAATGTCATTATTGGCATTAACTTTGCTCATCTACCTAAGAAGTCAGTTCATTTTACCACTATAAAGTAACCATTCCTTTTTTCTATCCATACTCTCTCTTTGGAAGGTAGCCTCACTTAATAAATGGAAAGTTGCATCAGCCTGCACTTATGTCTACAGCTTCAGCTTTTAGTAGCTATTTGGATCTATGTGGGTTGACATACCATAGAATTAAAAAAAATACTTTCTATTATCTGGGGTGGGAGAGGTGGCTCAGCAGTGCTCAGCAGTTAAGAGCACTTATTGCTCTTCTGGGGGACTCCAGTTCTATTCCCAGAACCCGCATGGCAGCTCATGACTATAAATTCAGTTCTAGGGGATCCAACTCTCTTCTGTCCTCTACAGGCACTGGGCCCACACATGGTGCACAGACATACATGTAGACAAAACATACCTGTACAAATAACTCTACAAAAATTTCTAAGCTTTCTTATTTCCTCTGGCTGAAAACTCATATTCTCCACTAGATTCAAATACTCTTCCAAGAAGCCCTGATCCAATAACTAGAGAACAGAATCAGAAACCAAGGTCTGGGTTTCTGAATTGCTTGTTACTTTTGGAGTGTCGTTGGTTCTAAGCCCTTTGACTAATAAATGTGTCTGTAGTTCTGTATGTAACCCTGAAGAACACATGGGTTGTCATTCAAAATCCCATACACTCTTACCAGGCCCTACAGCCTAAGCCATTATTATTACATGGAGCTCCCAGTGTCCCCATCACTTGTCTGACCCCTTTTCTTCAGTACTGCAAATAAACAAGACCCATTGAAGAGAATCAGCCAAGAATTGAAATCACAAGTTTGTGGTGTTAAGATGGAAGTAACATTTTGCTAGCAGCTTTGTAGTGGTTTTCATTTCTAGTTTTAATCTCAAAGGTCATAACCAGGTAGGATTGGGGGTGGGGGAGCCAGGGGAGCTTGGGATCAGGGAAACATATTTGCTGAATACCTACTAAGTGCAAACTGCTAAAAACTTAAGGGCCACTTTATTTTAGTTATTCACACAGTAGATGGTTGTGCTGGTAGATTTCCTCCACTGCAAGAAATAGCAGAGACGATGCACTTGTAAAGACGATAGGTGTATTCTGGCTTGGAGCTCCTAGTCCATGACTTATTGTCTTCATTACTTGTTAGAAGGCAGCACATGGTGGCAAGATGCAAAAGACACCAGGAGAGGACCAGCTGTGGCTCCACTGCCTCCTTCAAAGGCATAGCTCTAATGCTCTGAGACTTCCCTCTAAGCCCTACATACTAAAGGCTTACCATCTCCCAACAGCACCATCTGGGGAGCACATGTTTACTAAAGAACCCTTGGGGAACTTAAGATCCACATATAACAAACTTCCCCCCCCCATTATGGTTGGAAAATGCAATTCCCTCAGAAAAAGTTTATTCAATGTTAAAAGAAATGTCTAAAGTATTTGCTGGGCATTGGTGGCTCACACCTTTAATCCTAGCACTCGGGAGGCAGAGGCAGGTGGATCTCTGTGAGTTCGAGGCCAGCCTGGTCTCCAGAGCGAGCGCCACAATAGGCTCCAAAGCTACACAGAGAAACCCTGTCTCGAAAAACCAAAATAAATAAATAAATAAATAAGCATAATATACTGTGTAGGTTGCAAAAGGAAACAGCCACTAATGAAAGGTGTTTGGTGTTGCAGTTTTTATCTCTTTTCTTCCTGAAAAATTTAGGCTTATTTTGTGTGGTGCCTTTGTTTTTTTTTTTTGTTTGTTTGTTTGTTTGTTTGTTTTGTGCTGAGGGTGAAACTCAGGACTGCATACACTCTAGGCAAGTGCTCCAGGAGTGAGCTACCCTACCCCAGCCTATGTGATGCTTTAGGAATAGTCCTGGCTGAAGGCAGAGGAAACAGATGGCATGAGCTCAAGACATACAGTAGCATTTGGTATTCTATCATCTCAGGTGTACCCATATTTTTCTCCTTTTTCCAGGTGGACAATATAAATGCAGCTGTGATGGATTTGAAGAAAAAGAAGATTCGAAGTCTGAGTGATGAAGCCAAAATTGGAGCACATGGGAAACCCGTGATTTTCCTCCATCCCAAAGACTGTGGCGGGGTTCTTATAGAACTGGAGCAAGCATAATTTATAATTGTGAGACACTTAATTGACCTGAACAAGCCTTATCAACACTATCAGATGTATTGTGCTACTGCTTCTACTACTTAAAACTTCAGATTAATTACAGAGAGATTAAAATATATGGACATGTATATATATGCATATTTGTCATTTAAAATTGGAGGAAATCTTAATTAGCAAATATTTGGCATTGTTAAAAAGATATTCCTAGACACTGCACCCAACTTTTCCACTCAGACAGTTTTCCCACATCCTTCTCCAGGGTCTGTCCCAGTGAATCTCCCTCCTTCTCCCCAGTTATACCTTCTCCCCAGCCTACTAGATCCAGCCCAGGGCCTACATCAAGTGCTCCAGCTTAATCGTGCCTCCCCGGCCTGCTCTGCGAGTGATATCCAGGCTTCTTCTAGGACCCTTCTACCTAGCTAACAACTCAAAGGTCCTTTCACACTATATCCAACGTTTGTAACCAGCCAGATATACCTCCACACCCTGGCTTGGATCAGAAGGCACATCCTGTACATTAAACCAGTCCCCTTGGTCCACCTGATTTCCAGCCTCTAGGGTGAACCACTCCCAACACCATCTCTTCTTCTCTAACCTGCTCTGTCCATAGAGAATTTCCTAGATGAACTATAAGACACAATTTAAAAGAACAATCATAAGCCTCATCAAGGAATTTAAGGAGTTTAAAGAAGACACAAAATTAAAGAGAAAGAACTTGGGGAAATAAAAACCCAAGTGATGCTCAAGAAAACACAAATACAAGGCTGATGGAAATGGCAAAGACAATTCAGGACTTGAGAATAGAATCCAACGAGGAAATAGAATCATTGAAGAGGACTCAAGTTGAAATGAAGATGGAAGTGAAAAACCCAATAACTTAACTGAAAAGTTCAAAGGAAAGTCATACAAATTGAATGAATCAAGTAGAAGAAAGATTTTCAGGACTCAAAAGTAAAGTAGAGGATCTAGACCAAATAAACAAGGAATATGAGTACTTTATAAACAAACAAACAAGAAAGGAGCATACAGAAGACATGAGACCAAGAAGAGCCAAACCTTTGAATTGCAGGCATAGACAAGAGAAAATAATTCTAAGTCATAGACCAGATCTTCAATAAGATTTTGGAAGAAAAAGTCCCCAAACTAAGGAAAGAAACACCATAGAGGTAAAAAAAAATACATACAGAGCATCAAATAAATCCACAAGACGAGGAGGTCCTCACAATATAGCATAGTTAAAACACAAAGTATATATAATATAGAAAGTGTATTGAAAATTTCAAGAAAAAATAAAAGTCACATCTAAAAAGGAAAAACTCATCAGAACAACAGCTAATTCCTCAATGGAAACTTTGAAAGCCAGAGAACCTAAAGCAGTGCATTCCAAGTCCTAAAAGACTATGACTGCCAACCTAGACTAATATACCTAGCAAAACTATCTGCCAAATTGAAGGAGAAAGAAAAACTTTCCACAATATAAACAGTCTTAAAAATTATATCCAACACACCAAACCTAAGGAAAATATAGGAATATTTAAGACCAAAGAGAGGAAGGACCATAGCAGAGAGACTGTGGAAGGAAATATGAAAGCATAATTATTAAAATACAAGGTAGCACTGAGAACAGAACACAAAAAAATCAACATAATGACCACAGTTAACACACATGCTTCAACAACAGTTTTAAATATCAATGGCCTCAATTCTACAATCAAAAGACACAGGCTGACTGGATGGATCAAGAAACAAAACCCAACTAGCTATTGTCTACAACAAAACAAAACACCTCTTAGCTTTAAAGATAAACTCTGCCTCAAAGTAAAAGGATAGACAAAAGTACTCTAATTAAATGAGACCAGGAAGCAAGCAGGCTCTATCAACTTAATATCTTACTAAATAGACTTTAAACTAGAACTAATCAGAAGAGATAAAGAAGGACACTTGATTCTAATCAAGGGAACAGTTAACCAAGAGGATGTGACTATCCTAAACATACACCATACTTGGGTGCCCATTTAAAAAAATACTACTGGATTCAAGGACACAAACATCAGTCCATTAATAGTAGGTGATTTCAATACTCCACTTTCTCCATAGCCAGGTCGTCTGAACAAAAAATAAACAGAGAAATATCAGAATTAATTGACATCATACGTCGGAAGGACTTGATAATTGTCTATAGAGTATTCTACCTAAACAACAAAGAATACACAATCTTCTCTGCAACACACAGAAACTTTTCTAAAATAGACCACATCCTGGGACACAAAACAATATTTTACAAATTCAAAGAGATTAACATCACTCCTTATGTTCTATCTGATCACAATGTAATAAAATTGACAGCAAACAAACCTAGAGTAAATATACAAACTCTTAAATATTAAACAACTCATTACTGAATGGTGAATGGGACAAAGATCAAGAAAAAAATAAAAATTCCTGGAGCTACATGAAGATGAAAACACAACATGACAAAACCTCTGGTACATGTTGAAAGCAGTCCTAGGAGGGCAAAGTGCATACATTAAAAAATCAGAAAGAGCTCAAATAGATGGCTTAATAATGCAACTCAAAAAGTTGGAAACACAAGAACAAACTAAATCCAAATAATAAAAATCAGAGTAGAAATCAGTAAAATAGAAATGAAACAATACAAAAACCATCAAAAAATGAATCTGAGATAGTGCTTTGAGAAGATATAATAATAATAATAATAATAATAATAATAATAATAATATTAAAAAACATTTCAACTAACATTTCAGAACCAGAGAGATTCACAGCAGATTTCTACCAGCCTTTCAAAGATCTACAACCATTCCTTCTTAAAGTATAAAAGAAAGAAAGAAAGAAAGAAAGAAAGAAAGAAAGAAAGAAAGAAAGGGGGAAGGTGGGAGTGAGGGAAGGAAGGAAGGAAGGAAAGGAGGAAGAAAGGAACAGGCGCACTCTCAAACTCCTTCTACAAAGCCAGTATCATGCTAATACCAAAACCATGTAAAGACAAAAACAACTACAGGCCAACATCCCTGATGAGCATTGTCAAAAATACTTTCAAACATAGAGTTCAATAAAATACTTGTAAACAGAATGCACCAAAATTATTACACACCATGACCAAGTCAACTTTATCCTTGAAATGCAGAGATGGTTTAACATCTACAAGACAATGTAATAAATCACACAAATAGACTTAAAACATGATCATCTCAATAGATACAGAAAAAGCATTTGACAAAATTCAACAGACCTCTATGATAAAAGTTCTAGAGGATGAAGAATTAGAGGGAACATACCTCAACACGATGAAAGTTATACACAAGAAACCCACAGCCAACATCATCTTAAATGAAAAAAACTCAAAGCAATCCCACCTATTGTGGGAATTACCAATACGGAGCCAAGTAAAAATACAAGGGAATTTATTAGGGAAAAGCCTTACTTACAAAGCAACCTAGCCAGCCGGCTGGGCAGCAGTAAGTACAGCAAGCTGAAAATGAAACAGAAGAAGGGGCGGCCACGTGAGCACCCTCACTCTCAAACCTTCCCTACATTACCACGCCCTCGTAGGTGTGGTCAGACACACCTGTAGCCAGCCCCTAGCAGGTGTGGCTACAGTGTCCCCTACAATTCCCCTTTTATTCTAAAAGAGGATTAAATCTTAACAGTGTAAAGTATCCAAAATTAACAATCATAAAGGTGAAATAAAAGAAGATACAACAATCTGCTTATATTACATCCTAACTATATCTATTTTAACTAAACCCTAAAGTCATCTGAAAGAGGTGTCCAAGCATGAACACCTCCTTCCAATCTCAACCATAAACAATAGGAAGCTATTACATCCTAACTATATCTATTTTAACTAAACCCTAAAGTCATCGGAAAGAGGTGTCCAAGCATGAACACCTCCTTCCAATCTCAACCATAAACAATAGGAAGCTATCCCTAACTAGGTATATACACTATCCTAAGTGACAACAATGGGTAAAGGGGACATAGCATCCTCCAAGTTACTTCCTGCTGAAATGGGACGGCAAAAGCCTCGTGGAGTCCTGTAGGAAGAAAATGTTAGTCTAGTGAAAGTCTTGAATGGATTGTATCCAGTCCATGTTAGTTGGGATTTGCTTGATTGAAGATATCGATTGAAATCCTCAACTTGATTGAAGACAGTACCCAAAACTCTGACCGGAGTGTCAGTTGAAATAGAGCAAGTTGGATCCAGTGCAGTCGAGGAGGTGTGGCCCATTTTCTTTCCAGGGTATCCAGGGATTGCTGTCAGGCACGTCTTCATTGGCTGTGTGTGACTCAAACATAAGTATTAGCAGAGAAATGTTTGCTTGTGTAAGTATGTATACTAGAAAAGGCAACCATGGGAGCATAATGATTATGAGAGGGTGTACACCTTGAAAGAAAGAGGCAAGAAAAGACAAAGTTACCAAATTCTTCTCTTATTCTGTATTACATCAATTGGCTCCTTGATATACAATACAGAAACTCTAAAGTTTAGTTAAACAACATGCTTGGATTTTAGAGGAGGAAAGCCAAATCCACCTCTAAAACCAGCATAGGTTTAATTGAATAGGGACTAGGAAATAAAGAGAAATAGAGTTCTCTGAGAGATAGCTGTAAAATTTACCTTATGGCATGTTCCTTTTGCTTGATGGTTATAGCTACCTTCTCAAGTATCTACCCATGCAGTGTCCTTTGCATTCTGGAGATGAGTTCTGTGAAGATAAAACAAAACACTTCCCCTTCCTTTGGGAGGTTTCAATTCAGTTTATGAGCTATACATTAGTAGAATACCTGTCAATTCTCCTCGTCGAGAGGTTTTTTCCTTTTCAACTCAAATCTTGATCAACTTTGATGGTTTCCAAAGTTTTTCTTCTCCTGTGGAAACCAATGCAAAATCCCTACCCCATCATAACACATGTCCTGGTTTTCATACAGCGGTTAGTACATCTTTGAAGTATATTGGCTGATTCAGTTCAGCAGTTTTTTCTGTAGTGCAGTGTCTTTCTGCAGCTGTTTGTCCTTTCTCTATGGCATTAAGAAAGGTTAATGTTAATAAAGCATTATGCAACTTATGTTTGGAGGGTTAAGTCTTCCCAGCCTGTCTATGGAGCATCT